CCTATACTCATAATTGGGATAAGATTAAGTAGAGAACCATTAAACATTTTTGTATTTTTTATAGATACAAATGACATTACGACTATGAAGAAAAAATGGAAGTCATTGTGTGATACTTATAGGACGTATAAAAATAAGCAGCAGAAACCAAGCGGTTCAGCAGGGACCTCACAAAAGAAATGGGTGCACTTCGAACGAATGAAGTTTCTTAATGATATGCAGCTCGAAACAGAGTACGTATTTATGAAATAACGAGCGTACAAACATATCTAATGCCGTAGTACATATTTGTTTATATTTATTGTATGTAAATTTAACTGTATGTTACAGAACTGTAACCAATATCGCGACATTTCCCAGCGAAGAGTCTAATGATACTATGACTTTTGATGAACACAGTAGCAGTGATCGTGGATCACGTATGTTGATTTATTAATTATTTTCTTATGAAAAGTATTGACGGGAAATGAAAAATTAAAATTAATATTTGTGAAATTTGATTTTTTAATGAAATTAAAAAATTTTTATCATTTGTTTTCAATTTTTCGCTCTATTTAATCTACAAATGTAATTAAAATAAAAGTAAATAATACAATCTCTAAATAATTGTAGGTAAGCACAAACGTAGCTGCAGTAGCATAGATAGCGAAGATGGTTCCAATTTTGACCGATTAATTGATGCTATAAATCAACCGATTAACATACCACCGTTTGTGCCTCCTAAGCCACCACCCTCTGACAAAGCAACTTTGTATGGTAACCTTGTTACTGCTCAATTACGAGAAATCAATCCTGAGGTTATGGATGACATAATGCTGCAAGTGATGCAATTACTTAATAATGCTAAGAAAAATAATTCTTATTAAATCACCGCCGTTTATTTCCTCTACCGACTGACAAAGTATAGCTTTATTTAGTTTTACAAGTATTAAATATGTATTAAATAAAGAATAAAGTTTATAATATATAAGTTTATTTGTAATAAAAATGTTTATATTTATTAGTATTTTATTTATTATATAATATATAAATTACATTAT